AGAATAAGAAGGCCGTGCTTTATAGCAGCAGGTTTGTGCACTCCATCCATCTTTCGGACGGCTGTAGATGCATGTTCTCGTTGTATCTCGGTGCATTGATAATAAAGCTTATTCTGATCATCCTGTTTAGGGATTTATGAGTCTAACAGCAGGCAGCACTGTGGCACAGTTGGTAGAACTGCTGCCTCTCGGCAAGCAAGTTGCCCTGGTTCAAATCCTGCTCTGGGGACCTTTCTGGGTGAAGTTTGCATGTTCTCTCCATGCATGTGTGGGTTTTCTCCGGGTACTTCAGTTTCCTCCCACAGACCAAAAACATGTTAGGCTAATTGGTAACTCTAAATTGACCCTGGGTGAGTGAGAGAGTGAATGGCTGTTTATCTAGTTTGTCTTGATGTGTCCCTGTAATGTACATGTAATGGACGTACACGGGAGTATACTGGGGGATTTAGACTGAATTTGATGTTCATGTCAACTAAACCGTCTCTGGTGTCCTCCTCTGGACATTCATCTGACCTTTTAGTGTCTTTCTACTGATGTGAGCTGGTACCCGTTCCCTCTGAGTTTACCCGGAGGAATGAAGATCTGAATCTAAACTCAGTCTTAGTGGACCAAAGTCCATGCTCAATAATCCAGGTATAAAATCCATCCATGTTCAGTCAGGTCATCTGGATGGTTTCTTTTTTGTTTGGAGACATTTCGCCATAGGCGTCGCAACCATTATATGTGAAGGGGACATGCCCCCCCCCCCCCCCCCCCACACACACACACCCTTTTACCATATGTTCAGTCAGTGCAGTTTCTCTTTCTTTGGGAACAAATCCATTCCACTTGATTAATAGGAGAATACTCATACCAATAAATGTCCACTCTAGGATTTCCTGGTTACCTCCAACTCTCCAGCAGCCTGCAACATGCAATATTTCACCTCTGCGTCTCCTCCTGCCTCGGTAGAGAACACTTACAAGTGGAGGAGGTGGAGACACCTCTGTGTTGTTTGCTCACCAGTTTAGCGAGCTTAGTGTGAACAATTGTTGACCAGTAGGGTTGATCATAAACATATACCATACCATTTTATTTATAGAGCACTTAAAACAGCGACAAGGCCAACCAAAGTGCTGTACAGACAGAACAACAGACAACACACAAAGCAAAATACAAAATGAAGTAAATCAGAAATATAGACATAAAAACTATGCAGATAATAAATAGGACGACTAATCTGTGTGAAGCAAATGGGTTCAAAACACAGATCATCTGGTGTTGAAAGCTACCGAATAGTAGTGGGCGAAGCTGTTCAGTGATTTATAGACATACATGAGTATTTTGAACTGGATTCGAAAGTGAACCAGTAACCAGTGCAGTGAGGCCAAAACTGGTGTAATGTGCTCTCTTTTGCCTGTACTGGTTAAAAATGTGTCTGCTGCATTCTGGACCAGTTGTAGTCGTGCAATGGAGGTCTGACTGATACCAAACAGGAGCGAATTGCAGTAATCAAGCCTAGATGTAATGAATGCATGTATTACTGTCTCCAGTTCTTTTTGGACAACATGGGCTTCAGTTTAGACAGTTTAGATATATACATGTTAGGAGGATGCTTGAGAGAAGTGGAGTGCTACGTCTGTAGCATCTTATTTCAGCAGTAACTGTGATGCTGTCAGATGCTGCAGGTGTAAGAGACTCTGTCTGTTCAGGTGCATTAAAATTGAAATGTCTTTAAACCCCCACACATTATTGTCCTCAAGCTTCATGTGAAACATCATTTAGATGAGTAGTGTTGAACACAAGTAAAAAAAAATCCAGTGGTGATGGTTTTTATTTCTCTATAAACACAAATAGTGCCAACCTGACGCTCTTAGTGTATTAAAGTTATAATGGCTTTAAAACCCACAGCTGAATTTACACAAACTTAGTAAGAAACATGCTTTAAATGGAATTAAAGGAAATCTAGATGAAATATTGCTTTTTTTTACACTACTGTACACTTTTTTGTGTGCGTGCACAGACACATACACACATACACACATACACACACACACACACAAACACATACACGCACACATCAGTGTCCCCCCCCCCACACACACACATTACAGATGCTTCTGACACCCTTGCATTTCACCTTCCATCCAGAAGGCTTCATCAGTCTGAGGAAGTTTCCTCAGACTGATGAAGCCTTCTGGATGGAAGGCAAAACGTCACAGAACAAAAAAGAAAGTGTCCAGATGACCTGACAGAACATGGTTGGATCAGTCTTAGTGGGTGATCTGCTCCAGTCCACTGAACAGGAAGTAGTTCTGATACCGTTTGTCCCTTTTCAGACTGACCATCTTCCTAACTGTGCCTTCAGACCCAGAAACAACAAAAGCTGCTTCAAACTCATCAGAACTGAACTGACCCGCTGCATCTTTTAACGGGTGTGAGTGTATTAGTAAAAATCCATCACACTGACTCATAACTTTATTTATATTCAGTGACAGTGTGGAAAAACTTGGGGTGACCTTTGATAAGGCTTTACACTTTACACTACATATCACCTCTGTTGTCCAGTCTGGATTTTTTTATTTATGCCTTTTAAAAAAAGGTCAAACCCGCTCATATCATCACAGTCCCTGTGACCCACATCTTCAATCTCTCCATAAGACAAAACTCCATCCAGACACTTGGAAAACAGCCTTTGTTCTTCTTTGCTGAAGGGAGGAGACCCCCACCTCACTGAACAACTATGGACCAATCTCTAAACTCTGCATTTTAGCCAAGGTTCTAGAAAAACTGATAAACTCTCAAATCAAAAATGACCTGGACTCAAACATCTTACCTCTCCATCAATCTGGTTTCAGGAAACAACACAGCACAACCACTGCTTCACTGAAGGTTCTTAATGACGTTGTTGAAGCACTGGATGCTAAGGATTATTGTGCTGCACTTTTCTTAGACCTGTCTAAAGATTCTGACTCTGTGGATCAGAACATCTTGTGTCATAAGATCTCAGAAATTGGTTTCTCAGAACACACCATTGGTTGGTTCTCTAACTATCTCTCAGATCGGAGGCAATGTGTTCAACATAATCGTACTTCATCCAGTTATTTAACAGTCATCAATGGTGTACCACAAGGCTCAGTCTTAGGACCCACCCTCTTTACAATCTACATAGGTAATGTAAGTCAAAACATCTCTGATGCATCCATACATTTCTATGCTGATGACACAGTTGTTTATTGTCGAGCTAAAACTGTTGATAAGGCTTTCCAGCTTTTGCAATCTGCCTTTGACAACATCCAGACTGATTTGTTCTGCCTCAAACTTGTCCTAAATGCCAATAAAACCAAAGGCATGCTTTTTTCAAACAGGAAGTCAGTCCCAGTTCTTTCTCTGATTTTATCCTCAAATGGTGTCCTTATTGAGTTTGTTGATTCCAATAAATATTTGTGTATCTTGGTCGACTTGCATCTCTCTTTTAAGCTTCGTGTGGAAAACCCAGTAAAGAAATGAAAGTTAAACTGGGTTTCTTTTTCAGAAACAGATCCTGTTTAACCCTGAATGTTAGGAAACACCTTGTATCTGTGACTTTCCTTCCCTCAACTGATTACAGTGACATTATTTACATGAACGCTCCTACAAGAACCCTGCAGATGTTGGATGCTGCAGATGTTGGATGCTGCAGATGTTGGATGCTGTCTATCATGGTGCACTAAGATTCATAACTGGCTGTGATTATCGTACCCACCACTGCACCCAGTATCCACTGGTTAACTGGTCACCATTAACTTCACACAGACTCTCACTGGTACATTTTCATCTTTAAATCACTTCTTGGTCTGCTGCCTTCATACATCTCCTCCTACATGTCTCTGTGTGAGTGCAGCTACAGCGTGCGCTCTCAGGACATCATTACCTGCAGTGTTCCCTCAGTGAGGACTGAACTAGACAAAAGGACCTTCTCCTACTCTGCTCCTGTTTCCTGGAATATCTTGTAAAAAGACCTGAAGCTCTCGACCTTTGACCTCTCTAAGTGGCTTTAATAATCTGTTGGACTCCTGGCAGGGACCAATGCAGACATGTTCCTGTTTTTAGTTTCTACATTCACCTTAGAATCTAGCTGTTTTTTGTTACCTTTTTTTTTTAGCCATCCTATTTGTTAAAAAAAAACAAAAACAGGAGTATTACTTTTTATAATTGTTTATTGTTGTTGCTGTTGTCCATTGTTGTCATCTTTCTTTGTTAAATCAGGTCTCTCTTGTAAATGAGTCCTCGAGGCTCAATGGGATTTACCGTCTAAATAAAGGTTGATTGAATCACTGAGCCGCCTCCAGCTGGTTCAAAATGCAGCCGCCCACTTTTTAACCAACACTCCTAGACGGGACCACATCACACCTGTTTTATTCTCACTACATTGGCTTCCTGTCCGTTTTAGAATAGATTTTAAACTTTTATTTGTTTTTAAAGCTCTGAATGGCCTCACTCTTCCTTATAGAACAGAGTTGTTAAGTTTCCCCACCCGCTCCAGGTCTCTGAGGTCAGACAGCTCCTGCTCTCTGTTCCAAGGACTAAATATGAACTCTGGGGTGACCGTGCCTTTTCTGCAGCCGCACCTCGACTCTGGAATAAGCTCCCACTTGATCTTCGTCAGATTACTGAACTGGGCTCTTTTAAATCGAAACTGAAGACTTTTTTATTCCAAAAAGTTTTTAGTACTTAAATATGTTTTGACGTTTCTGGTTCTCTTTTTGTTATTTTATTGTGTTTTTCTTGCTTTTAACTTGTTGTCATTTTAATTACTGTTTTTGTTAAGCACTTTGGTCACCATCACCGTGGTTGTGTAAAGCACTATAAAAATAAATAAATGAAATGAAATGAAAATGAAATATTCTTCTGTTCTAATTATTTCAAGTGTACCACTGAATCTGACTGGTACCGGTTCTATCAGATTTGTGATTCAACTAAAACGTCTTTTTTTTGTCATTCACCCAAATTATTAGATTTTTGGAAAAAGGAAAGCAGATTAACAGTTTTATTATAAATTTGTCAAGTTTACAAATAAAATCAGTCACCAGTCATCAAATTTATTTTACAACATAAAATGTGTCGAGTTGGGAAACGTTTAATAACTTTAAAATAAGACCTATGTTTTACTTTTATGAAAAATATACATCTAAAAGACAGACGAGGTTCTGATCTTCTCTACAACTTTTCATTCTTTAAATACACCTGAAGACCCAACAAAAAGAAAAATAATGAATTTACAGTTTGATAACTTGATTTACTGATCAGCAGGAGTCAGCACCTCCTCAGGTGGAGTCAGCCCCAGAACCTCTGTCTGCCAGCAGGAGGAGTCAGCACCTCCTCAGGAGGAGGTGGGAGGCTGAAGATGGAGCCCGCTGCCTCTACGCTGAAGATGAAGTAAAAATTAGCGGCCATCATGATGATGCTCGGCAGGAATGAGAGACCGAAGCCGAAACCACGAACGCTGCTGCCGAACGCTGCTGCCACCCAGTAGGCCAACCTGGAGGAGCAAAACAAATGGTTAATGGTTTTTATCATCTCCTGCCAATCATTCTGACTCAGTCATTGTGATCAACTTATACATTTGATTAGTTCAGAAACTGTCCCGTTTGATAACCACAGGTGACAGACAGAACGTTCAGAACTGAACAGGTCCCAGGCAGGACATTAGGTGATGCCCCAGAACTGTTTTCTAAATCTCATTGCCAATTTGCAAACACTCACAGAGGAAACTAAATAAATTTGTCTTTAATATTATCTTTTGTCACAAAGAAGATAAAAAATGAATACATAAAATGTTAACACGGGCCAGTATTGGCCTGCGGGCCTTCAGTTTAACAAACGTGTTTTAGACTACATGAGCTAACAGAACAACAAATGGCCTTACAGTTATAAAATATAAAGAGGTAGAAGAGAAATAATACTTATATAGTTCTAACTTTGCTGAGAGCTTTCTTATATGTTAGCAGGCTATCTCTTCAAGTTAAATAATTTTTTCCATGTTAGTGGAGCACCATTTTCTTTCCAGCTTTCTAGATGCCTGTTTTAAAATATGCAACTCAGAACTGAACCAAGGAACTAGCTTCCTCTAATTGATTACTTTTTCACATCATCAGTCTCAGCCTCATCTGTCTCATCAGCATCTCATAATTTATGTATGTGAATGCATTTGTTCAGTGCCCCAAGACATCTTCTGTTGTGACTTGGCACTATATAAATAAACTGAGCTGAAATAAATTGAATTGAATCAGCCTGATCTGTCTCAGTCTCATCAGCCTAATCAGTTTCATCACTCTCATCACTCTAAGAGAGATCAGTCTCACAGCCTCATCAGACTCAGCATGGTCAGTCTCACAACCTCATCTGTCTCAGTCCCTTCAGTGTCATCAGTCCAATCAATCTCATCAGCCTCTGTCACAACAGCCCCATTTATATCTTCACCTCAGCTGTTTCATCAGCATAATCAGTCTCAACAGTTTCAGTTTAATAACTTTCATCCACCTTATCATTTTAATCAGTCTCAGTCTAATCAGTCTCACAGCCGCTTCGGTCTCATTCTTATCAGTCCAACTGGCCTCATCAGTCAAAGCAGCCTCTTTAGCCTCATTAATCTCATCATCATCAAAACCCTAAAATGGCTGCACCAGTGACTGACAAAGAATCACTTACAATTTAGGTTTAAAGCCCAGTGATGGTTCCAAAATCCATGCTGATCTGGGTTCTTTAACACATCATCTGACTGAGACAGCAACTAACCTAGGCATCAGGCTGGACAATGACTTTAAGGTCGTTTTCACACCAGATAGTCCGGTAGACTCGGTTCGGGACCAATATTCATGACCTTTTGTTACATTTGAGCTGGTGAGTTTGCATTCACACTGCACTGTGCAGTCGATTCAACCTGTTGAACCAACCTATTCCCCCGCTCGCCTGTGGGGGGCGCTGCACCAAGAACTACTGAAAGAAATGACACAAAAACCTCTGAAGACACATCTTCTTCTTCTTCTGTAAATAAAAATAAAAACGAAGTGGCATCAAGTTTTAGCAGTTTTAGGAGTTATATTTTGTCATTTTTCAACAATGGACTCAGCATGAGCAGAAGATGAGACAGAAGACCATGGAGAATATTGTTTTCCACACAAGGCAGCTGACGGCTCCATATAAGAGAAATGTGTGTTTGTTTGTCCTGTGGAGCAGGTCCGGTCTGTTTACATTCACACTGTACTGGAACCGCGCTGGAGTTCGTTTCTACTGGACCGAGACCTAGGTTTTAGCCCGGGCCAGGGTTCGCCTTTTTGTTCCATGACAGAGTTCGATGGCGCGTTCACACCTCCCTAAACGAGCCGGACTTTCTAGGAAAACGAGCTAGAGTTGGATTAAAGCGGACTAAACAGGGCTAGTGTGAATGCACCCTAGATTATGGAAAAACCAGTCCAAATCCCTAACACAAAAAACAGCGTCTAAAATGTACCAAATGACTCAAAAAGTTGAGAAGACAACCAAATTGGCTCTAAAAAATGACAAATTCACAAAATACTCCAGAAGCTAAGTCAGGAAAAGAAACTAGATCGTTAAAGGACTAATTAAACGTGTCTCTCTCCTCCCTCTCTTTTTCTTCACATAAACCGGAGTCCTGTGGACCTCTGTCTCCCGTGGCACAGCTGTACCCCTCTCTGGCTGGTTTCACTGACCCACCATCGTACGCCCCACCTGTAACGGCAAAGAAAAAGAAGGAAAAATCACAAGAACTGCCCATTAAAGGTCAAGCTCAGCTGCTCCCACCACCAAAACCCACTTGGGCCCTCGACTCGGATGATGATTTTCAAGGATGTGCACCAGCATCTGATTCAGAGGAAGAAGATGATGAAACCCCATCAGTGTCCTCGCTGAAGACCCCAGCTGATAATAAAGGTCCTGTCTCTGGAACCAGTACTAAAGTCGTCACAAGACAAATGGGGAAAAATTAAGGCCCTTGAAGAAAAGGCTGAAGCTATAAAAAAGGAAATTGACGACATTAAACAGCAAGGCCTAAAGAAAAAACAAAAAAAATGCAGATCATCATTATCTGACCTTCCCCAAACTGCAGATGGAGTGGACGACCCTGCAGACCTGCTCACCAACCCGATGCTGGAGGTTGGAGGACCAACTATCCCTCAACTGGTGTACCGTACATGGCCAAAGGCGACCCTGATCGAGATGGCAAGCCAGCACTTGCCTGACCTGGCACAAGGAGGAGCTGCTGTAGCTGCTGCTATGATAAATATGATAGAAGTGGTCCGGCCCACACTAGCTGAACTCAAAATGATAATGGCTTCTGTATATGGGATTGCGTTCATCAGCACCATCGGAGCCCAACTATTTGATGTACGTGATGGACATCGAATTGTCAATGTCCAGGCAGATCACAAGGACAACCAACAGTTCTTCACACACGTGGAAAGGATCACAGAACACATCACTGCAGCGTATCCTCAGACCCCAAGCTTCACCACCATCACAGACACTGTTCAGAGACCAGATGAAGCCCCACAGGACTATGCTAACAGACTGCTGCCCATCTTCAGAACCCACTCTGGTATTCCCATCGATAATGATGACTGGCGAGAAGCCCCTCAAGCAATGTCTTTTTTGATTATTTTTTGCCAATCTCGACTGGACTTCTCTCACCTATCCGTAAAGCTGTTCAATCCACCTACATTGGGTGGAAAACTGGTGTCTGGCTGAATGAGCTTCTCAGACACGCCTGGGATCAGCACACAGCTGACCAAACCTCCACCCAGAAGAAAAAACAGAGACAAACTGAAGAGGCTCAGCTCATGCTGCTACAAGGAGCCACACAGATGACACTTAATACAGCTGCCGCTAAATTACCTCACCCACCAACACCCCAGCAGCAACCTGTCCAGCCTTATCAACAGCAGACTGACCCAGCTGAACCTCGTCCTTGTTTCCTGTGTGGAGGACTTGACCATTGAAAGGAAAGGAAATGGAGTAAAGACAGACTGCAGGTTTCCCTGGACATCTTTAAAGACAGCTTGTCAAATGATCAGAGAGCTGTTAAAGCTGCTTTTTTTTAATCTAACATAGTTTCAAACAGTCACAGACCTCGGGTTCTTCTTAATGTTTTTAACTCTGTTGTGAATCCTTGTGATGCTGCTCATGTTGCTGAATCTCCTGCACTGTGTGAACAGTTGTCCAAGTCTTTTATAGATAAAATCTCTGCTCTGAGACCCTCCTCAACAAAACTTTACACAGACCCCTCCTCACTTCCTCCATCTGCAGCCTCCTTTGAACAGTTTGAGCCGGTGACTTTAGTTGTTTTAAAGGACATCGTGGACCACGTGCAGCCTTCTAATTCACCTCTGGACTGTGTTCCCTCTCGTCTGTTTAAAGAAGTTTTGAACACTCTTGGTCCATTAAGTTCTTGTCCTGATTGACATGTTTCTGTCATCAGGCTGTGTTCCAGCTACTTTTAAACATGCTGTGGTGCAGCCTCTCATAAAGAAGAAAAACCTCGACCCAACACTGCTCTTAAATTACAGAACTATTTCTAAACTGCCTTTTCTGTCGAAAATTTTGGAGAAAGTTGTTTTTAATCAACTTAAGAGGTTTTGAACTGCCAACAGCATTGGTGAAAAATTCCAGTCAGGTTTTAAATCAGGCCATAGCACAGAGACAGCACTTTTAAGAGTTTTTAATGACCTTCTTTTAACTGTTGATGCAGGAAGCTTTGCTGTTTTAGTGCTTTTAGACCTTTCTGCTGCCTTTGATACTGTGGACCACAACATCTTGGTGTCACGACTGGAGCAGGTGGTCGGTATCAAAGGCACAGTTCTATCCTGGTTTAGATCCTACCTGACTGACAAGAGTTTTTCTGTTCATTTAGGGAAATGCTCTTCATCTCCAGCTCCTCTGATCTGTGGGGTCCCTCAAGGGTCTATTTTAGGTCCATTGCTTTTTAATCTTTACATGTTGCCTTTGGGGTCCATTTTTAGAAAACACAACATCCCTTTTCACTGCTTTGCTGATGATACTCAGTTATATCTTCCAATTGAGTCAGACAGGGTCACTTCACTGGATCCACTCTTGAACTGTCTAAATGATGTTAAAGTCTGGATAAAACTAAATTTTCTGAATCTAAATGAAAATAAAACGGAAGTCATCAGCTTTGGTAAATGTAATACCCTTAATGTGCTTGGCCCCTTGGCTTCATACAGCCACTCCAATGTCAGGAATCTGGGAGTTATTTTTGACAGTGCTTTTAAATTAGACAAACAGATAAATACAGTTGTGAAATCCAGTTTCTTCCAGCTAAGACTTATTGCCAAGGTGAAGTCTTGTCTCCCTTTCAGAGACCTTGAAAAGGTGATTCATGCTTTTATTACATCTCGTTTGGACGACTGTAATTCATTGTATGTTGGTTTAGACAAACCATCTTTGCATCGTTTACAATGTGTCCAGAACGCAGCAGCTCATCTTTTAACAGCAACTAAAAAACAT